TAAATGACAGCAGCCAGTAGAGAGGGGTCAATCAAGACTTCCATCCCTGAGTAGGTGGGAGGAGAAGGATCTGGAACCCACGCATGGGATTAGCCTCTTCTCAGATTCTCCTTGTGTTGAGTCAAGAGGGGAGATGAGATGATAAGGACTGGCTTTCGTGGAATACTCACTGTGCACCAGGCACTGTTCACAGTCTACATATGAGTTCATTTACTATCCCACCCCCCTGAGATGGGCACTCTCATGTCTACCTTTTGACAGAGGGGGAAACTGAGACATAGAGGAGCTAAGTAAGCGGCGCATTCAAGATTTGAGCCCAGGCTGTCTGATTTTTAAAAAACATTTTTAAAATGTTTATTTATTTATTTCGAGAGCAAGAGTGAGCGAGCAAGAGAGAGAGAGAGAGAGAACACAAGCAGGGGAGGGAAAGAGAGAGGGAGATAGAGAATCCCAAGCAGGCTCTGCATTGTCAGCATGGAGCCTGACGTGGGGCTCGAACTCATGAACTGCAAGATTGTAACCTGAGCTGAAATCAAGAATCAGACACTAAATCAACTGAGCCCCCCTCCCTGAGGCAGTCTGACTTTCAAACTCTGTGGGGTGGAGGTGCACTTGCAGGTTTGGAGTCAGAAGTAAAGTTAAAACAATTTTTTAAAGTAATGTCTACACCCATTACTTTAATATCGGGGGCTCAAACTCAAGATCCCGAGATCAGGGGTCAGATGCTCTACCAACTGAGCCAGCCAGGTGCCCCTCAGAAGTAAATTTGATAGCGTTGGGTACAGGACACATGGGTGCTCGGTATGCCATTCTCTGTACTTTTCTGGGTACTGGAAACATTTCAGAGTAAGAAGAATGACTCGAGGTATTTGGGAGTTCCTGTACGGGTGTGTGTGCAAGGTAGGTGTGAATTAATAGGCGAAGAGAGGGGAGGTGATAAGACCAGAGGCTTAAAGAAAGTGCAAAAAGGTGAGCAAGTCTGAAGCGTAGCTTCTGCTATGGGGACCAGGAAAAAGGACTGACCAGGGACATGGAAGAACTTTGGGCTGCCGCAGCCCTCTCTGTGGAGGGAGACTATGACGTTGTAGTGACCCCAGGGCTCATGATGGGGGCCACCCAGGTGGTGGGTTGCTCTCCAGCTGGGCTCGGTGGAGGGTTATGAGCAGACAGTTGGGCCAACCAAGATGGAGGTCTGTTGGACATGCAAGGGAGAAGCATCCATTAGAAAGTGGTAGTTCAAGTGGTTTCTAGGGGAGTCCATGTTGAGCAAAGGAGGAAGTGAAGAGTGGGGTGACTGGTGGAGACATGGAAGAGAAGTCCAGGCTGGGGATCCCCGTGAGATCAGAGGGAGGCCACAAAGGCATCACGGAAGGAACACTCTTAGGGTCGGAGAGCAGGAGGTTGGAATTTGTTTGAGCTGCAGAAAACCAAAGAAGAGAAAATCTTGAATGGAGCCAGAGGAGAAAATACCATCTTATTTATAGAAAGATTTATATGAATTATAGGGGCACCTGGGTGGCTTAGTCGGTTAAGCATCTGACTTAAGCTCAGGTCATGATCTCACAGTTCGTGGGTTCGAGCCCCATGTCGGGCTCTTTGCTGACAGCTAGCTCAGAGCCTGGAGCCTGTTTCAGATTCTGTATCTCCCTCTCTCTCTCTGACCCTCCCCTGCTCACACTGTCTCTCTCTCTCTCTCTCTTTCAGAAATAAATTTAAAAAAAAATAAAGTAACTCAACATGGGGCTTGAACTCATAACCTTGAGATCAAGCGTTGCATGCTCTCCCCCCCAAATAAATGAAATAAAAAATAAAGTTAAAGAATATATATGTACAGATTATATTGGATGTTTCGGAAGCCATGCAACCAAGAACAGAATAAAGTGACATCTCTAGTGTTGAAAGAGAAAAAACAATACAGAATTCTGTATCTAGTGAAAATATCCTTCCAAGGTGAGCATAAATAAATACTTTCTCAATCAAACAAAAGCTGAGGGAATTCGTTGCCAGTAGACTTGCCTTGGAGGAAATGGTAAAAGAAGATTTTCAGAAAGAAGGAAAATGGTGAAGGTCAAAAGCTCAGTTCTACATAAAGAAAGGAAGAGCATAAGAGAAGGAGTAAATGGAGATAAAATATTTTATTTTTCTTATTCTTAATTTATCTAAGAGAAAATGTTCATATAATAATAGCAACGATGTATTGGGTAATTACAGCTTATGGATAAGTGAAATGAATTATACCAAAGTTATAAGGGACAGGAGGAAGAAGTAGGGAATATTCACTTCTAAGGTACCAGCCATCAAAGAGAATAGTATTATTTGAAAATGAATCTAGATCAGGCTAAGTTGTATCATAAACTCGAGGGCTGCTACTTAAAACATTTTTTAAGTGTTTTCATTTATTTAAGTAATCTCTATACCCCACGTGGGACTTGAACTCATGACCCGAAGATCAAGAGTCACACATACTCTTCCTACGGAGGCAGCCAGGTGCCCCTAAAAATATATTTAAAAAGTAGGCTCCACATCCAGCGTGGAGTCCAATATGGGACTTGAACTCACGACCCTGAGATCAAGACCTGAGATCAAGAGTCAGACACTTAACTGACTGAGCCATTCAGGAGCCCCTAAAATATTTTTAATGTTTTATTTATTATTTTTGAAAGAGAGAGAGAGAGCATGAGCAGGGGAGGGGCGGAGAGAGAGGGAGACACAGAAACCCAAGCAGGCTCCAGGCTCTGAGCTGTCAGCACAAAGCCAGACACCAGGCTTGAACTCATGAACTCTGAGATCATGACCTGAGCTGAAGTCAGACACTTAACTGACTGAACGACCCAGGCACCCCTAAAATATTTTTAATTTAATTTTTATTTTCTTAATGTTTTATTTTTGAGAGAGAGAGAGAGAGAAAGCATGAGAGGGAGAGGGACAGAGGCAGAGAGAGGGGGGGACAAAGGATCCAATTTGAAGTGGGCTCTACGCTGGTAGCAGGGAGCCTGATGCGGGGCTCAAACTCATGAACCATGAGATTGTGACCTGAGCCGAAGTTGGTTACCCAACCAACTGAACCACTCAGGCCCCCCAAAATATTTTTTTTACATTTTAATTTAATTTTATTATTTTTTGAAGTGATCTCTACACCCAACATGGAGATCACACTTATTGACCCTGAGGTCAAGAGTCACACATTCCACCAACTGACCCAGACAAGCACCCCAGCCCCCAAAATATTTTTAAAAGATGTATACTCGGTATGCTAAGAGAGGAGAGAAAATAGAATAATACAGAGTGCTCAACTAAAGCCAGAGAAGGTAGAAAAAGCAGGGACCGGTTTCAAAACCGAAGAAACAGAGAGTAAGTACAATAAAAAGAAAACAGCCACCGATATGGTAGGTATTAATCCAACTATGTCGATAATTATTTAAATGTGAATGATATAAGCACACCAATGAAAAGACAGACTGACAGGATGGATAAGAAACAAAACAAAACAAAACCCAACTTTGTTTGTAAGAAAGTCACTTCAAATATAAAGATACGGTCAATTAAACGTAAAGGACTCAAGAAAAATACAGCATGCTAACACTAATCATAAGAAAGCGAGGGTTGGAGGGGGGCCGCCTGGCTGGCTCTGTCAATGGAGCATGCAACTCTTGGTCTCAGGGTCATGAATTTGAGCCCCACATTGCACGTAAAGCTCACTAAAAAAAAAAAAAAAAAAAAAAAAAAAGGAAAAGAAAAGAAAAAAGAAAGCTTGAGGAGCTATATTTGTTTCAGACCAAGGAAACTTCAGAACAAGGAAAATAATCAGGGATGAAGAGGGGCATCGTCACAGTAAAGGGGTTTATTCTCCAAGAAGGCATAACAGTCTGATGTATACGCACCTACTGTGAGTATCAAAACACATGAGGCAAAACATCGTTGAACTACGAGAGGGAAAAGACAAATCCCCTCTCAGAGTTGGAGACTTCAACACACCTTCATTAGTGGTTGAGTGTGAATTATGGGTTTGAAGAACAGCAAGGAGGCCAGTGTGGTTGGAGAGAGCGTGAGCGAGAGCGCCGGAAGATGAAGGCAAAGAGGTGATGTGATGGGTGTGGAGGGATCACGTAGTGCCTCACAGGATATCATAAGGACTTTGAATTCTACTCTAAGTGAGATAAGGCGTTGTTGCCGAATCGTGAGCAGAAGAGTGACACGGCTTGACTTATTTTTTACTGGAATGTGTCTCAGTGTGGATTTTTCAAATTTATCCGACTTGGAGTTCTTTGAGATACTTGGAGGTGTAGATTCCTGCCTTTCATCATATTTGGGACAGTGTGGGCCATTGTTTCTTCGAATGCTCTTTCTGCACCCCTTCTTTCTCTGGGACTTCCACAGTGCATGTGTTGGTGGGCTTGATGGTGCTCCACAGTTCTCTTCGGCTCTGTTCTTTTTCTTTTTTTCTTTCTGTCCATCAGGCTAAATGATTTCAATTGACTTTCCATCACTGACTTTTCTCCTTGTTCAAACCTACTGTTGAACCCCTCTAGTGAATTTTTCATTGCAGGTATTGTACGTTTAAGCTCCAGAATTTCTATTTGGTTTCATTTGATAACTTTTTTCTCTTCACTGATATTCTCTATTTGTTCAGACACCATTCTCTTGGTTTTCCTTTTGTTATTTGTCCATGTTTTTCTTTAGCTCGTTGGGCATATATATTTTTAAATTTTTTAATGTTTATTCATTTTTGAGAGAGAGAGAGAGACAGGGACAGAGTCTGAGTTGGGGAGGTGCAGAGAGAGAGGGAGACACAGAATCCGAAGCAGCTGTCAGCACAGAGCCCGACGCTGGACTCAAACTCATGAACTGTGAGATCACGACCTGAGCTGAAGTCAGAGGCTTAACCGACTGAGCCACCCAGGCACCCCCTCTTTGGGCATATTTTGAAAACAGTCGAAGTCTTTGTCTAGTAAGTCCAATGTCTTTGTTTGTTTATCTGTTTGTTTCAGTAAGTACAATGTCTATGTGTCCTTTCTGTTTTCCTGTGAATGGGCCATCTTTTCTGTTTCTTTATAGGCTTTATAATCTTGCTGTTGAAACTAGGTATTTTAAATTTTATAATGTGGTACGTCTGGGAATCAGATGTTTCTTCCTATCCAGGGTTTGTTGCTGTTGCTTGCTGTGGGATACGATGCAATCCTCCGTTTGTTTAATGACTTTTCCAAACTATCTTTGCAAGGACAATATTCCTTGTCATGTGTGGTCACTGAGGCTGTGCACGAAGAATCCTGTGCACCATGCTGCTAAAAGGTGAATGATGTACTTACTTGGGATGCTGAAGCTTTCATAACATTTTTAGTCACATTTCAGTTTCCTCAAAATGTGCAGAAGCCCTTAGTGAGATTACTGACTTTATATATGTGGAAGGAGATACTCTTTAAACACATGCCTACAAGATGACTATCTGGGTGTTGACCTGTAAAGTAATTTTTTTAAAGTTTATTTTATTTTTAAGAGAAAGAGAGAGAGAGAAAGAGAAAGAGAGAGATAGAGCATGAGAGGAGGAGGAGCAGAGAGAAAGAGGAGACACAGAATCCAAAGCAGGCTCCAGACTCCCAGCTGTCAATACAGAGCCCAATGTGGGGCTCAAACCTGTGAACCATGAGATCATGACCAGAGCCGAAGTTGGATACTTAACCCACTGAGCCACCCAGGCGCTCCTAAAGTAATTTTTAAAGTAGGCTCCACGTCCAATGAGGGGGCTTGAACTCACAACCCTGAGATTAAGAGTCACATGCTCCACTGACTGAGCCAGACTGGCATCCCTGTAAAATCTTGTTTAAAGGGTAAGAGTAAAGGAATGTCCTTCTCTAATTTGGAAGTATACAAAAGATAAAAATGGAGAAAGGGATCACAGTAAAACAGAAGTTTATATGCTATTTCTCCAAAACTGTTCGTTGATCTTTGAAGAGGCCATAAGAAGCCTAGAGAAAGATGAATTGGCTGCATTTGAGTTGTTCAGTATCATGTGTAGGTTGTGAGAAAAGCTCACACGGGGTGGAGGGGGTGGGGAAGACTCATATTTAGGAAATAAGGCTGCTTCAGAATTAAAACAAAAACAAAAACAGGTCACCAGGAAAGGGCAGTCAAATTAAACAAGACTTTCTTAATTTAAAAAAAAGTTTATTTATTTTTTGGGGGGGAAGGGGGAGAGAGAGAGAGAATCCCAAGCAGGCTCCACGCTGTCAGCACAGAGCCCCACATAGGGCTCGAACCAGCAAACCATGAGATCATGACCTGGGCTGAAATCAAAAGCCAGACACTTACCCGACTGAGTCACTCGGGCACCCAAGACTTTCTAAAATTTTTAAATAAAAATTGTAACTTATTTGAAATCTGCGTTAGTCTGAATTCTCCAGAGAATAGAACCAATATGAGATAGCTAGCTAGCTCATCTGTCTATCATCTGTTACAAGGAATTGGTTCATGTGGTTATGAAGGTTGGAGTCCCGAGATCTGCAGTTAGCAGGTGAAGACCCATGAGAGCTGATAGTTTGGCTCCAGCCTAAGTTCTGAGGGCTGAAATCTGGAAGCATGGATGATATAGGTTCCAGAGTGATGGCAAAGACTGGTGTCCTGGCATGAAGCTAGCCAGAAGACACTGTCTTCTCCCTTACTCAGCCTTTCAGTCCATGCAGGACTTCAACAGATTGGATATCCAACCTGCCCGCCCACCCCCCACCAAACCACCACAAAGGGGAAGGTAATCTGCTTTACTTAATCTACTGATTCCAGTATGAGTCTCATTCATAAACATCCCCAGGGACACGCCAGAATAATGTTTAACCAAACACCCGGGCACCCCATGACCCAATTCAGAGGACATGAAATTAACCATCAACTTGGATTTCACAGTCAGGATCACCTCTGTGCTTTAAAGCCGTTTTCCCCGAGAAGGAAGTCAACCTTCTGATGGGCATCTGAGTATTTAAAAATGACGAACGTTTTAGGCATGGCTAGTCTATATGATAAATTCATAGATGCGAAGGACCAACCGATAAACAACTGGCCTACCCAAATAAGCCTGTAAGATACAAAGGAATGGACTTTTTGAGGAGTGGTGATGGATTCCCACAAGTCTAAAAACCTGCTGTTGTGGGATGCCTGGGTGGCTCAGTCGGTTAAGCGTCTGACTTCAGCTCAGGTCATGATCTCACAGTTTGTGAGTTCGAGCCCTGTGTCAGGCTCTGTGCTGACAGCCAGCTCAGAGCCTGGAGCCTGTTTCAGATTCTGTATCTCCCTCTCTCTCTCTCTGACCCTTCCCTGCTCATGCTGTCTCTCTCTCTCTCTCTTTCTCTCTCTCAGAAATAAACAAAACATTAAAAAAATTAAAAAATACCCTGCTGTTGCAAGCAAGTGGAATCCTAAGTATTCCATGCTCATATGTTTTGTTGAGGGGAGATTTAGCTGGATGTGGTCACACTGGACTGACCCAAGGAATTGGTACAATGTAGGTTGACTAAGCACAGGGCTGTGGGGCCAGATGAATTTTACATTTGACTCTGAAGTTTCAGCACTACATAAAAGAAGAGGAGGGTATCCTAAAAAAAAGGCTATAGGCAGTTCAGAGAAGTATTATTGGAATAGAAAACCAAGAGTCACATCATTCTGCCATGTCATGGGTCAGACAGAAACATACCATTGCTTTATTATTATTATTATTATTACTTAATATGAACAATAGCTCCTTAATTTATCCGATTATAGGTATGTTCTTCTTGACTTTTTTTTTAATTTTTTTTTTAATTTCTAGGAGAAAGAGAGAAAGAGACAGTGTTAGCAAGGGAGGGTCAGAGAGAGAGGGAGACACAGAATCTGAAGCAGGCTCCAGGCTCTGAGCTGGCAGTCAGCACAGAGCCCAACGCGGGTCTCGAACCCACGAACCGCGAGATCATGACCTAAGCGAAAGTCGGACGCTTAACTGACTAAGCCACCCAGGCACCCCTTGACTTTTTGAAGTCTTACATTCATGTTTCTTAAGAATACACAATCAGGGTGCCTGACTGGCTCAGTCGGAAGGGCATGTGGCTCTTGATCTTGGGGTCATGAGTTCAAGCTCCATGTTGGGTGTAGAGATTCCTTAAATACATAAATGAATCAACTTAAAAAAAATTAAAAAAGAGTACATAATCATGTAGCTCATAAAATTTATATGTACAGCAAAGAGGGGCTCCTGGATGGCTCGGTTGGTTAAGCATCTGACTTCAGCTCAGGTCATAATCTCGTGGTTTGTGAGTTCAAGCCCCGCATTGGACTCAGAGCCTGGAGCCTACTTTGGATTCATGTCTCCCCTTCTCTCTGCCCCTCTCATGCTCATGCTCTGTCTCTCTCTGTCTGTCAATAATAAATAAACATTGAAAAAATATTTAAATGTCCAACAAAGAGTTCTAAAGGGTTAAAATAAATTTTCTTATATCAGACAAAAAGAGCTGACCTAAAAATATTGTTATATTTTTCTTACATGTATTATTTAATTGGTCCTATTATCAATCAGTACTAATTACTTCTTTTAACTAGTCCTGTTGTTTTGTTTAAATAACAGCATTTAGGGGCGCCTGTATGGCTCAGTTGGTTAAGCGTCTGACTTCGGCTCAGGTCATGATCTCACAGTTAGTGGGTTCGAGCCCCGCATCGTGCTCTGTGCTGATGGCTAGCTCAGAGCCCGGAGCCTGTTTCAGATGTCTCCCTCTCTCTCTAACCCTCCTCTGCTCATGCTGTCTCTTTCTCTCAGAAGTAAATAAAAAACATTTTTAAAAGATTTTAAAAAATAACAGCATTTAGGGGCGCCTGGGTGGCTCAGTCAGTAAGGCATCCAACTTCGGCTCAGATCATGATCTCGTAGTTCATGAGTTCGAGCCCTGCATTGGGCTCTGTGCTGATGGCTCGGAGCCTGGAGCCTGCTTCAGATTCTGTGTTTCCCTCTCTCTCTGTTCCTCTCGCGCTCATGCTCTGTCTCTCAAAAATGAATAAACATTAAAATAAATAAATAAATAACAGCATCTATGGGCCAGGAAATAAAATAATAAGAGAATAACATAATTTCAAATAAATACTTATTTTCATGCTATTATGTTAGAGTCATAAAACATGCTTAGATTATAAATTTGAGCTTCGATTTTTTTGTCTGGTATGGCTATGTCCCTCTAACAAGATTGGCTCTCTAAAAAGCAGGTCACTGTGGGTAAGGGACTTCTGAAAGCCAGGGCCCAGAGCTTCACAGAGCTCAAATGATGTCACCATGTCTGCTTGTCGATCTGTCTGCTTTCTGTGTGGCTCCTCGCCCCCACCTCCCCCCCCCACCCCAGCCTGTGCTTACATTATCTTCACCTACCAATCTAAGCAGGAAAGCATTTCCCCAGACACAGTCCTGGGATTGAGTCTCAGTGGGTGCCCTCAGTTCACACGCCTGTCCCTAAACCACTTACTGTGTCCAAAGGAAGTGGTGGAGCCTGGGTTATCAGTTCACCCCAGAGTGGGAGGGAGGCTGGAAGGAGCCAGCTCCCTCAAAAACAAATTGAGAGTGGAGACGTGGTTCCCTGAAGGGAAACCTGGGACTCTTCCCAGAAGAGGAATAGATGCTGTGCAGACGAAAGCATCCTCAGCCATCCATTTACTCTGTCGGCGGCCAGCCAAAGTGCTTTCCGCTAAGTCGTTCTGGGCCAGCTCCCTGGAGCCAAACAAACATGCATCCATTTTATCATTTACCATATTCTTTTGAGATGATCTGGTGCTGTGTCTCTCTTACTGATCGGACAGCAAGTTTCCCAAGGACAGAGGCCATGGCTGATTCCTGCTCTGTCTCTTTCACACTCAGCAGGGCCCTGGGATCCTGTTCCCACCTCTGTTCTCAGCCCTTGCTACATACGTTTCCTTGCACAATCTCTTCCACTCCTGTGACTTTCAACAACACTTCTGGCAGAGACCTTCACCCTGAGTCCAGAGGCGGGCATCCCGCTGTCTTCCAGACACTCTAACTTGGACGTCCCACAGGCAGCTCAAGCTATACTGGAAACTGAACTTGCTGTCCTCATCCCTAAATGCTAAATATCCTCCTCCTCCACGGTCCCCTTTCTCAGCAACCCCTGGTCATTCGATTTACTTGGCTCTCACCTGCCACAGTCTGTCCATCCCTAAGTGTTCTTGACCCTTTCTCTCAGATACTTCTCGGTGCCCCCTCCCTCCTCATCTCACTGGCCGGCCTCAGCGTCCCTCCCTTGATGATACAGCCACCGTCCGGCGCCAGCCTCCCTCAGCCTGTTCCTTGGTGTTTCCTGTCAATTTCGCCTTCCCACCACCCCAGCAGCACCTGCGGGCTCTGGCCTCGCTGTTCTGTGCATGCTCTGAGCTGCCACGGCCTTTCTACTTCTCCTTGTCCTGAGAGACCAGGTTACCTCCAGGAAGAAGCCCTCCCTCCATGAGGGCGCAACCCCCGGCTGAGAGCCCAGTGCTTTGCTCTTCCCTGCTTTCCAGCACCCGTACTCATCCAGCCCCCCTTTCAGTGGTGCATTTGATTGTGTGGCCACTATTGACTTGACAGCAATTTGACTTCCTGTGAGAAAGCCTCTGTGGTTAGACAGGTGGTCTCTTTACTTACTCATTTCTCCCCGTAGACTGTGATTGACATGGGAGCAGGCGAGGTGTCCTTTATCTCTGTGACCCTAGCCCGGGGCTGGAATATAGCAGGTGCTCATCGATTGTTAAGTGAGCGAATCAGCAGGGCAGCTACAACAGAGGTTGGCAAACTTTGGAAAGGGCCAGACGGAGAATATTTTAGCCTTTGCAGGTAGCGCGGTCTCCCTTAGCAGCCACAAATCATATGTAAATAACACTGCGCTTACAAAATCAGGTGGCCCCTGTCAGGCTGACCTTCCAGCCTGGGGGAGGGGTTCGGGGAGCCCTCTGATTCTTCCTCTGCCTTGAGGACAAGAGGGAAAGGAGAAAAACATGAAGACCAGACCACAGGTAGGATTTTCTAAGAAAAGGTTAGGGAGGAATCGCTTTCCTCGGAGGTATTGAAAACGAGAAACTGCCCAAGTATGCTGAAAAACAAGGCGGTGTGGCCTGGAGGCAGGAGGAGGGACAAGGTGGCCCCTAGATCGGTCATGATTATTACAACCCAGGGGTTTTTCCTGCCCTTTGGAGAAGGGCGCGGTGCACCGACCATGGGCTGCAGTTAGCTCAATCGCCACCAGGTGGCAGGCCTGCCCATTCCTAAATGCTGAGGACTCTGGCAGCTGGGGACTCCAATTGGTCGACAGATTTATTTATCCGTCATTTATTCATTCACGATTTGTATTCCCCAAGCACGTTGGACTCCTCCTACAATGCCAGCAGGCGCTGTGCTAAGTGTGGGGAGGGAGCAAGCGGCCAAGACTGGGTCTGGGTTCTAAGGCACCTGGCATACCTACCTCGTCCCTCCCCGGCAGCGGGTCAAATGCCCAGATATGGGTCCATAGTGGCGACCGGGTGTCTGTGTGCCAGGCCTGCTGCCTGGACCTGTGCCCACTGCAACCTCGTGGAATGGTGTCCCTTGCCTTCCGTTCTCGTTCAGCGAGAGCCAACGGGCAGCGGGCCCTGAGCAAGGTTTGGATCACCTCCCACCCGGAGCTCAGGTCGCCCTCAGCAGGTCTCAGGTGCAGCCGCACACTGGTCCCTCGGGCTGAGGTTTTCTCCATCTCTGTCGTCTTCCAACCAGGCCCAACCTCAAACCGCCAGTCTCTCCCCTCCCCCCTTTCCTCCCTTCCCTTTGCTCTGTTCTGATAGCCTTTCTCAGAAATGTCCATCCGGAGAGCAGGACGTGGGTACCTGGAGCAGGGCCAAGTCCTGGGGGTCTTGGGGTCACTTCCTCCACCTTTGCCACTACTTAGGGCACCACACACTCCCCCGCCCCCACCCCCGTGGTTCCTGGTTCCAGTGTTCACCACCCACGTGCCAGAAGCATCCATGTCTTGGCTATTTACTCCATCCCCACCTGAAGTATAGCCTCCGGAGGGCAGAGACCTCTGGCTCACTGTCAAACCTCCAGGACCTACGCAGCGCCTGACACATAGCAGGTTTCAACAAATGTGGGCTGGACCACTCAGTAAGGGTGAGTGGATGCAGCTTTGCAAAAGTTTAGAGGACTTCAGAGCGAGACCCCACAGATCCACACAAAGGCAGGGTGGGCAGGGGTAAACCCTAGAGGCTAAGAACGTGCCTGAGAGTAACTGCCCTGAATTGAACGGAGGACCCCCTGGGCCTGTTTCAATGAGGACCATGGGAGCCCCAGACTCCAGCCCCAGCAGGGATGGAGTTAGCACCTATTGGGGTCATTCTTTGGACAGGGCCCCCAGATGACTTCCTCGGCCATCAGCCCTGGGGCCCCATCCTCTGGAAGAGTGCCCCCCACTGCTCTGCCTTATTTCCTTCTCTCTACTCCTGCCCCACTTCCCTGGGAACTGGGAACCCCTCCCTCGACCCAGGCCCCGTGCCTTCTGACTCACTGTGTAGCTCAGCTGGAAAGCATCTGGTCATGCCCATGGCCCTGGCATCTGGCCCGTTGGCCTTGAATGAGAGGCACCCCTTCCTCGGACCTTCCATTAAGTTCTCCGTTAAGATCGTGTCCATTGAAAACTTCCCCACTCGGCCCCCCTCCCCCGAGAAAAATCCCCTCTGAGAAGCGGAGGTGGCAAAGCACCCTACCCCGTGCCAGGTGGAGTGGGACTCCCAACCTTATCAGCTCATCACATTCCGGACATTCCCTGTGGGTGGGGGAGGGGTCGGCCAGAAGAGGAGAATGCTGCTTGACTTCAATATCCCAGGTCTTGGTTTGCTCCAATTTCTACCCCCCACCCAGGGCTCAGGGCCCTTCCACGTGCCTCCCAGCCCCTTGCATCTTGGTCTCCATGTCTAGCTCCTCATCCTCTCTCAGTCTGTTCTGTTCTCCCTTTCCTTCCATTTTCTTTTGCCTTTCCCAGCCCTCCTCTGTCATCCCAGGAGTTTGCATTAGGAAGTGGGGGGACCACGGTGGGGTTCTCAGTTCTCAGAGGGGACCTTGTCCCTGACCTAGGCAACCAAGAACTCTAGATTTGGTCTGGCCCCGGGTTGCCACCACTTCCTTGTCAATCTTGGGTCCAGGACTTGCCCTCTCTGGTCATGGGGGTCATCCTGCCTCTTGAGCGCTGGAGTCCTGGGTTCTGAGTCCCTGATCTCTAAGGCGTTCCCAGAGTGATGGTCCGGATATGCCCTGGAGAGAGTTCCCCAAGGCCTCCTTCCAAACTGCACAGGACCAGAAGGGAGGGCCAGCCCCTCCACCAGGCTCCCACCGTCCACCCAGCCTGGCCCCCCTCCCTCTCTTGCTGGAGGAGGGGCTGCCTGCCCACCTTCTTCATACACCATCTGCAGGTATGGACCCAGTACAAAGTTGTCCTATTTGTGAAACACTTATACACACATCCCTCTACCTTCTGGCCACCTCCCAACTGCTGACCACAGAGGTGGTTGAAGCGGGGCTGGAATCCAGCCCTAGTTCTAGTTCTAGGTCTAACTCTGGGTCTACCACTAGCCTACTATGTGACCTGAAGTCTTCCTCTGAGCTGAGAGGAATGACAGGAGTAGACTGGCGGTCTCACGTTCCAAAGTCAAAGGGGAACACCGAGAGACCTGGACTAGACAGAAGTTTTGATGGAGGACATGAAGAGGAGTCATCATGGAGGTATTTCCCTCTTGGAAACAATGCCTTTTTGTTTTTTGAGTGAGGATCAGGCTGTCCCTAAGGGCTCCCCTCCTCTGTAGTGTTCCCTACCCCAAGCCCTTAGGCCATTCTCTTATCAGAAAAATGTCCAGAAGAGTGCTGCTGTGAAGAGTATCTCCAAACACACACAGCCAACATCAAGCTTAATGGCAAGATGTTGAAAGCTCTTCTGCTGAAAAAGATCTTCTCACTATCCCTACTTCTGTCCAGCACTACACTTGGAAATCCCGGTCAGGGCAATATGGCAAGAGAAAGAAGTTATGAGAATTGGAAAAGAAAAGAATAAAACTGCCGATATTTAGATGACATAATGGTACACAGAAAAAATCCAAAAAACATACCAACGATTTCAATAAGTAAGTGAATTTAGCAAGGTCACTGGATACAAGGTTAGTATAAGAAATCAAATGTTTTTCAAATAATTTTTAATGTTTATTTACTTTTGAGAGCGAGCGAGAGAGAGAGAGCTAGACAGAGTGCAAGTGGGGAGGGACAGAGAGGGAGACACAGAATCCGAAGCAGGCTCCAGGCTCTGGTCAGCACAGAGCTCGACGTGGGGCTCAAACTCACAAACTGTGAGATCAGACGCTCAACCGACTGAGCCACCCAGGCACCCCAAATGTTTTTGAATATATTATCAATGCACAATTAGAGAAAGGAATTCAAAAGACAACATCATTTTCACTCTTATGTGGAACTTGAGAAACTTACAGAAGACCATGGGGGAAGGTAAGAGGAAAAATTGATTCAAACAGAGAGGGAGGGATACCATAAAAGACTCTCAAATACAGAGAACAAACTGAGGGTTGATGGGGGGAAGGAGAGGAGGGAAATGGGTGATGGGCATTGAGGAGGGCACTTGTTGGGATGAACACTGGGTGTCGTATGTAAGTGATGAAGCATGGGAATCTATCCCCCAAACCAAGAGCACACTGTATACACTGTATGTTAGCTAACTTGACAATAAATTATATTAAATTTTTTAAATTATAAAAAATAAAATATATTAAAAAAACAAAAACAAACAAAAAGATAACATCATTGGGGCTGCTGGGTGGTTCAGTCGGTTAAGCATCCAACTCGATTTCGACTCAGGTCATGATCTCACAGTTCATGGGTTCAAGTCCCATGTCATGCTCTGTACGGACATTGTGGAGACTGCTTGGGATTCTCCCTCTCTCCCTCTCTCTGCCCCTTCCCCCACTCACTTGCAAGTGCACTCTCTCTCAAAATAAACCAAAAAAAAAAAAAAAAAAGGCAACATCATTTATACACTTTAAAAATATCAAATTCTTGGGGCCGCCTGGGTGGCTCAGTCGATTAAGCGTCCAACTTCGGCTCAGGTCATGACCTCACAGTTTGTGGGTTTGAGCCCTGCAATGGGCTCTGTGCTGACAACTAGCTCAGAGCCTGGAGCCTGTCTTCAGATTCTGTGTCTCCCTCTCTCTCTGACCCTCCCCTGCCTCATGCTGTCTCTCTCTCTCTCTCAAAAATAAATTAAAAAACATTTAAAAAATATCAAATTCTTGTTGAGAAAGAAATCTAACCAAAAAATACAAGATTACTTAGTACACAGAAAACCATAAAACATTACTGAGAAATACTGTGAAATATCTACGTTAACTGAGGGGTATACTGTGTTCATGAATTAGAAGATTATAAAGATATTAATTCTCCACAAATCAATCTATAGAATCAATGCAATCCCAATCAAAACCTAGCAGGAATGCGTGTGTGTGCACGCGCATGTGTGTATCAACAAGCTGATTCTAAAATTTGTATGGAAATACAAAAGACCAAGAATAGTCAAGACATGCTTGATGAAGAGGAAAGTTGGAGGGCTTCTAGCACCAGATATTAAGACATCAATGCAAGAATGGACCAGTAGAACAAAATAAAGATCCCTGCAACAGGTCCACAGAAAAATGGCCACTTGATTTTTGACACAGATATTGCTGCTTTGCTCTAAGGAGAAAAGCATGATCTTCTCAATAAATGATGCTGGGTTGATTGGATGTTCATATGGAAAAAAGGTATCTTGATCCCTACTTCACATCACACGCAGAAATAAATTTCAGCTAGAATATAAATCTAAAAATAAAAAGGTAAAACAACTAGAAGGAAACATTAAGATATCTTCATAAGTTAGGCAAAGTTCCTTAAACAGGACACGAAAATCACTAACTGTAATGGAACAAACTTGATAAATTATTCTCCATTAGGATAAAGAACTTCAGTTTATCAAAAGTCACCATTAAGAAAGTGAAAAGGAAAGCTGCAGAGTTGGAGAAGGTATTTGCAATACATAGGTTTGTATCCATAATATATAAAGAACTCTTACAGATCAATAGAAATAAGAAGGACAATACAATAGAAAATGGGTGAGAGACTTGAACAGGCACTTCACAAATAAGGTTTTCCACATGGTCTGTGAACATAAGGCACGGCGATCGATATCACATCACTAGGAAGATGCAAAAGCTACACTGAGCTGAGATGAAAAGACCAACTAAATATGGTGGGGATATGAAACACATAGCACTTTCATACCTGGCTGGTGAGAGTATCAGTTGGCAGGATCACTTTGGAAAATTTTATGACAGTATCAATTAAAGCTGAACATATTCAGCCCCTATGCTCCAGCATTTCCATCTCTGGGCATGTGTCCAACACGAAAAGCATACATTATGTTCCGAAAGACACACCCAAGGATGTTCACCAGAGCAGTATCGTCAGCAGCCCCGAACCGAAAACCCCAGATGGCCATCAGCAATAGACTAGATCGATAAAGAGTGGTCTGTTCATATGATAGCATACTATGCAATGCAAAGGAACAAACTACCACTGGAAGAGACAACATGGATGAATCTTGGGCGGTGGGAGTGGGAGGAGACAGAGAGACAAAGCAGAGGTCAGAGAACCAAGATCACTAGGCGGTGGGCAACCAGAGTGAGAAGGAACACAGCCATAGGAGGAGGGGCAGCCGGGTGCTTGGAGACCAGTGGTGTCTGGTAGTCGGTGATGGGTAGGAACGTAAGCCACCTCTTCCCTCCGTCACCCCCACCTCTCAGGAATGACACCCCGCTTACCCTGCTTGGCGAACAGTATTTAGGGAGGAATTTAAGCACAGGGCCAACAGCGCACAGGTGAGAGGCAAAGAGGGCATGGAGAATTGGGCAAAAGGCAGAAAGCAGAGGGAGAGGGGAGCACGCAGGACTCTCAGGGTGAGGGCTGAAGCTTAAAACTCCAGAATGGAAGTCTGGAGAGCTCAAGAACCCAGGTGATTGATGCTGGAGTCTCGGGGGAAGTGAGCAGGGGAGACTAGACGTGGTGCAGGGCCATCCGCATGTGGTGCAGCGGACCTCCCCCACCCCTTCCTGCAGAAGGGCAGCCCCTCTCCGCCCGACACGACACAGACATGTGGAGAATGTCAGTGGCCAAAGGCAGAGATGGCTGGAGGAGGCCAAGGAGAGTCACCCCGCTGATATCCAGAGGCTTGAAGGAGAGACCCCCCCCCAACTCCCTCCCAAATCCTTGGGTGGAAGGACTGTGACCTTCCAAGAGCCAAGGGGTTAGAGGCAGGCTGCCGGCTCCAAGGAGAGTCTGCGAGCCCTGGGGAGCGGGGAATAAGTGACCCGCTGCCTTGTGAATCAGGGGCCAGCTCTGGGGAAGCTGACACTAAGGACAGGGGGCTTCTGCTCCACCCCCCCATCCCCCCAGGGCTGGTGGAGGACAAATACGACAGGGGCCTCATGTGCCTCGCACAATCTGGAAATCCCAATCCTCTCGGGGCCTTTGCTTATACCGTTTCCCTGGGGGTCTGGCCTGTGTCTGGAGGCACATTGTGCAAGACCTGA